CTCTGTCTTGAAGCCTTTACCTGCTGGCATGTCAAACACTTGCTAACAAACTGAGCTATTTCCCTCTTCATGTTATGCCACCAATAATGTCTCTTCAGGTCTTGATACATCTTGGTGCTTCCTGGATGAACCGAGAATGGAGCATTGTGTGCCTCTCCCAGTAAGTCCTTCCTCAAAGGATAATCTTTTGGCACACACAACCTTCCGCAAAAAAGCAAGGCTGCCTCACCCGAAAGAGTGAAATCTCCATGGCCCACCATACTAAAGCCTTTGGCTAAACTAGGATCTTCCTTTTGGGCAACAATGATCCTCTGTCTCAGGCTAGGTTCCACTGAGAGTCGGGCCAACAACGCTGAGACATCATCCACTGTCAGCTCCACCTCCGAGCATTCCAACTCGCTGTGCATTTGACTGCAGGCCGCTACTAAAGATGCCACACTTGCCGCCTTTCTACTAAGAGCATCGGCCACAACGTTCGCTTTACCCGGATGGTAACTAATCTCACAATCATAGTCCTTCACCAACTCTAGCCACCGTCTCTGTCTTAAGGTAAGCTCCTTCTGAGTGAAAAGGTACTTCAAACTCTGATGATCAGTGAAGACCTGAATTATCTCTCCGTAAAGGTAGTGCCTCTATATCTTTAAGGCGAAAACCACTGCTGCTAGCTCTAAGTCATGAGTGGGGTAGTTAAGCTCATGCACCTTCAGCTGTCGAGAAGCATAAGCTATGACCTTCCCATGTTGCATCAGAACACATCCCAAGCCTTTTCGCGAGGCGTCACTGTAAACCACCAAACCTCCCGTTCCATCGGGGACAGTTAACACCAGTGCAGACACCAAACGCTTCTTTAGTTCTTGAAAAGCCTCCTCACACTCGCTGCTCCAAGTGAAAGTAGCATTCTTAAGAGTCAACTTCGTCAACGGTGCCGCTAAACGAGAGAAATTCTGGATGAACTTCCTGTAGTAGCCAGCCAAGCCGAGGAAACTACGAATCTCTGTAATGGTACTAGGTCTTGGCCAATTGCTAACAGCCTCTACCTTAGCGGGGTCTACTGCAATGCCGTCCCTGGTGACTATGTGACCTAGGAAAGCCACTTTGTCCAGCCAAAATTCACACTTTGAAAACTTTGCATACAACCTATTTTCTCGTAGTGTAGTCAAAACCCGCCTGAGATGCTCCTCGTGACCTTCCTTAGTCTTGGAGTAAATCAGGATGTCATCGATAAACACAATAACAAATGAATCTAAGAAATCCCTAAAAACCCGATTCATTAGATCCATAAAGACTGCCAGAGCATTAGTGAGTCCAAAAGGCATCACGATAAACTCATAATGCCCATACCTCGTTCTGAAAGCTGTCTTTGGGATGTCGGCCTCCTTTAACCTTAACTGGTGGTACCCCGAATGCAAGTCTATCTTCGAGAACACTCTCGCTCCTTGAAGCTGATCAAAGAGTTCATCAATGCGTGGTAGGGGATACTTATTCTTAATCGTCACTTTGTTTAGTTCCCGATAGTCTATACAAAGTCGCATAGAACCGTCTTTCTTCTTAACAAATAGCACGGGTGCACCCCAAGGGGACACGCTTGGGCGGATGAAACCCCTGTCGAGTAATTCTTCTAACTGTAACTTTAGCTCTTTCAACTCTGCCAGAGCCATTCGATATGGTGCTTCCGAGATGGGGGCCGTCCCTGGCAGCAACTCTATACAAAAGTCCACTTCGCGAAACGGAGGCAAACCGGGAAGATCCTCAGGGAACACGTCAGTGAACTCATTAACCACACGAACACCCTCAATGCTTGGCACAACCTTCCTTGCATCCACAACGCTAGCCAAATAGGCCCAGACACCACGCTGAAGAAGATAGCTGGCCTTCAATGCTGACACCACCCTTGGGACCCCGGCCTTAACTCCTTTAAAGGTAAAGTTTTGTCCGGAGAGCAAGCAAAAACTAACTTCCTTCTTCGAGCAATTAATATTAGCCCGGTTAGCAGCTAACCAATCCATGCCTAGTATCACATCGAAATCCTGCATATTCAGTTGAATTAAATTTACCTCCAAGGTCTGACCACCGAAAGAGAGCTGGCCTCCTTTCACCACTTGGCTAGTAACCAACACAGATCCTGACGGTGTGGATACCGACAACGAAAAGCCAAACGATTCTAGCTCTAAGTCCGCATGTCGAACAAAGGTAGAAGCAATGAAAGAATGACTAGATCCAGAGTCAAATAATGCGTAAGCAGGTATACTAAGCATTAAAATAGTCCCTGCAAAAGTAACACGCATGCAATAAAGCACAAGCATATACACACAACTCAAGACTCACAAAGAGAAGGTACCTGTGACCACCGCCTCGGCATGCTCAACATCCCCCCTGGTGAGAGCAAAGACGCGCGCCATCTGGGTTCCACCTTGAGTTGCAGTTGCCGTAGGGGTCTTCTGGCTTAACGCTTGGGTATTCGAGCCGGTCATCAGACACTCCCTTGTGAAATGTCCTTCCTTCTGGCACTTGAAACATATTTTTTTTCCCAACCAACATGGCCTAGCATGGTTCTTCTTACAAGAGGGGCACACCGGAGGAGCAGTCTGTCTTTGCGCATGGTGCTGGTGTCCTCTTGAGGATTGACTGGCGGAGAACGATGCAAATTTCCTCTTAACCCCCGAGTTGGAGCCTATTACCTGCTGAGACTGAGGCTCCTCAAGACATTTGTCCATAACCAACGCACACCTGACTGCCGCTGCGTATGTAGTTGGTTCCTTGAGAACAAGTAGCCCCTTGATCTCCCTACGCAAACCGTCAATGAACTTGTCAATCTTTAACTGCTCAGTAGGGACATATTGCGTTCCAAAACGGGAAAGCTCAGTGAACTTCCTTTCGTATTGGGCCACGGTCAGGCTCCCTTGAGTGAGACGGAGAAACTCTACCCGTTTTTCATTCCTGGCAATCACGGGGAAATAGTACTCATAAAGTAGGTCCTTAAATCTTGCCCAAGTGACGGGTACGTTGGCGTGATCCTCCGCTGCCGCCACTGACTCCCACCAATTTACTGCTTCTCCCCGAAGCATAAAAACTGCTCCCCGGACCTTGAAATCGTCGGAGCATCCCAAATACACATAAAGGGCTTCCAGCTCCCTGACCCATTCTTCGGCCGCAGTAGGCCTCTCACTCACCCCGTTGAAAACGGGTGGCCCAAAGCATTTGAAATCCCTGATAAACTGGACCTCATCTTGCGGAATTTGTGCCCGGCGAGGCTGCTGCACTTGAGCTCCACCGGCTCCATTCGCATTATGTAGTAGTACTTGCAATGCCTCAGCTAGCAACGCCACCTGGGGATTCACCTGGGGAACTCCCTGAGGAGCTGCCTGAGGGACCGGGGGTACTACCCCTCCAGGAACTACCGGAGAAACATTTGGGTCCGCTGCGTTCTCACCCCTAAGATTCGGATCCTCGTAGTTATGAGCTCTCGTGTTTCGCCGGAAAGCCATTGTTTAAAAGAACAGAGCACTAAGGTCAATATCGCACTAACCGGGTCACAACATAAGCGCAAAGTCCAAGCAAGTCTATATAATGAACCAAGGGAGCACGCTAACTTATCTAATATCAGACAACAATGATATCTCAACCATAAGCAATGTAAGGCATTCATGATTGAACAAACAAAACTAGGAAACGTACCTGGTGATGACGAGGAGACTGACAAGGACCATACACTATCGACCTAGATTCTAGGACAGTCTACAGAAACAACTCCGCTCTGATACCAATTGTAACGCCCCAGAACGTTCCACACGCTTCTAGGTCACGTTAACTATCCACCTGTCTAACCTTAACTCCAAACACGAGATAACAACTCCCTCTGAAATAATTATGTAAAATAAAGCTTCAACTCCCATCAATTTACCAACAAATCAACCCTATAGAATATCAATCAAACATCATCCGTGGACAACCTCATGATGCAATTTCATTATTCCAACTAGGCAAACTCAATGAATGGAAGAAAACTAAAATAGACACCTATTCCGAAATAAAGTAGACAATGAGTGGGAACCTCCCAATTATTCAAATAATA